ATTTCTGTTGAGATTATGATTCTTATTATTGAGTAAAAATATTTTATTTAAAATTTCAATTGGTTCTGTATTTCTTGGATGGGAAGGGAGGAGTTTCAGCTGTGCTTCCAAAATCTCCTTCCAGAAGAAATTTTCTACCTCAAAAATCAAGGGCTTTCCTGGAAACTGCAGTCAGAGGACAGAACATTAGCCTCAAGCTGGTGAATAGGATGGATTTTCTCCCTAAACATCCCTTCTGCTCTCTAGTTTGAATTATCAATAAAATGGTTTGGCTTATCTGTGAAAATAACCTTGTTGACAACACAAATATGGATTTAAATACGCTTCCTCCACATCAAGATTTAAGAAGCCCCCAGTAAATGTCAGGGGGTGTCAATGTGTTTGCTGTGATACTTGGTTATTATTAGTGTTTAACTGCAATTCCCCACCAGCGCCACGCTACCAGCACCACCATAAATTTTAATGTGATCATGTGCTCTTCTCTTTTCATATCCAGTGAATTCTGCAAGATCATAATATTCTATATGAACCCTAGCTGAACCTGAGTGTGATATGAAGAAAGAACAAGATTTCGGGCAATGATAGTTGTTCATCATTTTACAGTTTTTCTTAACTGGACACTGAACAACATGGTTCCTTGAATAATATTACCCTAAACTAAATTCACTCATTCAATTAATCTTTATTGATATCCTACAGGATGCAGGGCATGACCCAAAGTGCTAATGAGTACATTTATGGGATAGTAAAGAATACTGACTCTTAAAGAAATCTTTTTTTCCCCTCTTGGAAAAATCTGTCAGAGCTCATACACCATTTATAAAATGGAAAAAATATCTGCAAACTTGGCACCACTATGCCTTTTATTTTACAGAATACAAACAAAAGCACAGTCATTTCCTATATCTGGTCTACGTTGTGAATATGAGAAATATGTCCATCATCTTTCATCACGTATTTATAGTTATAATTTATTTATTATGTATGTGCATGATGGAATGTTTATTCTATAAACCCTTATTAGTAAAGATAATTTATATAATGGTCATTGATCTGCAGGTTCTTCTTCATTTTAATCACAAGTAGTAACTTGTACCACTTACTGTATTTATCAGAGGAATTCAAAGTATTTGGGAAATTTTAACTATCTAAATATCTTTTTAAAAGTAAAGAATAACATTGAAACTTTCAAATTTATAAATGTGAAATTTCAGACCAGAGGCATAGAACAAATTAATAAGTCATTATCGGGGTTCCCAGTGAATAAAATGCTCATCATTTTATAGCAATTTGCCTGTCCTACAGAGCGGTTCTTTTTTTTATTATTATTTTTTTAATTTCTAAAGGAACAAAACCACTTTGTTACCCAGACATGAACCTGAATGCTTTCGCAAAACACAATGCTGAGTCAATATGTTTATTTTCCATACTGAAGTGATTTTAGGGTTAAAGGTTAGGAAGCTGGAACATATATTTATAACTTGCTTGTCCTGTTGTACGTGGTGCCAAAATTTGCTCAGCAGTGACACACAACTATGCATCTCCCTATTCCCAGAGACAATAGGCTTAGGAAAAATACACAGTCACAGATTTAAGGTCACACGGAGAACACTGGATTATTCACATTAACAGCACGGTATGCAAGGCAGCAGTCACAAAACAGGCCCATCCTGATAGGAGAGGCTCTTTTCCGACAGACTGGTTTTGTTGCTATCTCTTTTAAGAGAAACATTTATTTTGTGGTGGGGTGTGTACCTCAATATCCCCTGTGCTAGAGGAAAAGAAGCACTTTCAAGCAAGGTTGGTAAGGCTTTTTTTCCCTTTTCTGGAAACCAGCTGGGAAACTTTGCCTTGGAGCGCCATCTAGAGGAATCCTCAGCACACAAGCGCTGTGCTTTCTTAACCTTGGACCCAAAAAGACCCAGGCTGAATCCCGTAGTTGGTATATGGTAAATTTTCTTTTTCTTTCCCCCCAGATTAACAGAGAAGAAGTTGGTTCTAACACAACTCACAGATAGGAAATATGAGATCATTGGAATGGAAGTTTAACAATAATGTAATATTAAATAAAATTTAATAAGATGAAAACATTGAAAGACTTTTAGAGTTTTCAGGAGTGCCCAAAGCATGAGTGCCCATTCATGGAAATAAACCGTAGGCTGAGGTCGCATTCCAGAGATGAGAATTGGTGAGTAAATTAAGTTTGTTTTAGCCACACTGACTAAGTCGTCTTTGTTAATTCTGTAATTATTTTCTTAATTTAAAAATTCTGATTAACCACATTGACCAAAGTCAAGTTTGGAGAAGATACTTATGTTAGAAAAAAACAAAAGTTGGCATTTTTAACAGATTGTAACCCTTAGTGAAGTTCAACAAAATTTAATGAGCAGAAAATACTATCATTTCCAGATATGGCTACTCAAAACAATGTGAAGGAGAAAGAAAAATAACATTTTATTCTTTCTGAAGTCATGTTTTTGTTTTGTGGTCTCCTCCACCCACCCTCCTTACAGAGATTTAGCAATGAGGTCTCCTCTTTTTGTGTTAGCATAAATGAAACAAAACAAACCCTAAGTCTTCTCCAACAATGGTGCTCTTCAAGACTGCCGAGCATACTTGCAAAACAACTGCACGGGGGAAGTATTCTGACGATATGAATGTTTCCATTATGGTGACGTAGTTTGAGAATTCTATTTTCTTCAATTTCTTGGAAAGGATCAAAATTGTCCATATCATGGAAATATCCACTGTAGAAAACTGAGTATATATTTCCTTTGTTCCTAAGTGTCCACTGTGACCCTGCTGCTCTTGCCAGTTTCCCCTATTCCAACTATTTTAGGGCTTGTCATAAAAATCTGTCTCTGCCCTTGACATTTCTAACTCAAAAATGTCACAGCCATTCCTTTTTCCCTCATCGAACAGGGTTCCTGCTTATTTACTTTGGCAATTCAGCATAAATCCATAGGTTTTCCAGAATAATGGGTTAATAAGTTCTTTATTGAATGGCTTCTGTGGGCCAGACTCATGAACTCTGTACATAGAAAATTATACCTTGTTTACTGAGGTATGATAAAGGAAAACAAAATGAAGGGTTTTTTTCCCCAAGCAATGGTTGTCACTTGAGCCATTAAGCCTCATGGTTCAAAGCATCTTTCTCACTTGACTGGCTCACTCTTCTGATGGCGAATACAGCAGAAGAATGGGACCAGTCCAGTTTTCTCAGGCCAGTCTGCCTGTTCCTTAAGCAGTTGAGGAACCAAAGCACAAGTCCTTAGTATAAAAGATATTCTAGCCCCATCTTCTTATGCACATTTCAGCTCATGTCAATTTAACATACATTTTTTGAAAACCCACCAAGTTCATGACAGAGTGCAAGGTCCTGGTGCGACCCTCAACACATGGTGGCTGACCAAATATGTAGGTAATGTTGAAAGAACAAGAAATGATCTATTCCCTCAGCAGCTTACTCTATAGGAGGATGACAGATTTGTAACTTAAAATACACAGTGGTGGCTGGGTGCGGTGGCTCATGCCTGTAATCCTAGCCCTTTGGGAGGCCAAGGCGGGTGGATTACAAGGTCAGGGGATTGAGAACATCCTGAACAACATGGTGAAACCCTGTCTATACTAAAAATGCAAAAAATTAGCTGGGCACAGTGGCATGCCCCTGTAGTCTCAGCTACTCAGGAGGCTGAGGCAGGAGAATCAGCTTAAATCCAAGAGGCAGAGGTTGCAGTGAGCTGAGATTGCACCACTGCACTCCAGCCTGGGTGACAGAGCGAGACTCCATCTCAAAAACAACAACAACAACAAACAAAACACGGTAGTAAGGAAGATGTGTTGTACTAGATATAGTACAGGGAAAGAAGTAATTATCAATGATTTGGGAGAAAGGGGAATACTTTGTAGAAAAACTGGCACTAGATCAATGCCATCAAGGATGAGTACAATTTTAATAGGCAGAAAATGAGGCAGAGATTTTTTTTTTCTAGGAAGAAGCAGAATTGTCTTTGTTCATTTGTACCAAAGGGAAATGCATTTCATTTGGAGCTCTGATTTTGTGTTTAAATTTTAGTCTGGGTGCAAAAATATAAAGTATTTGTTTTATGTTGGAAGAATCCAAGACTTACATTCTTTTTTTTTTTTTTTTTTGGTATGGCAATATGTTTACACACACTCACAGATATGTACGTACGCATGTGTGTATATCTAACTATAAGGACAAAGAAACCAATATATTTAAGCCAGAAAATATTTTACTTGATGATAGCTTAACAATGTAGTAGAAATTATGCCAAAACAAGCCTTATTTCTTACCAGGAAGAAGTAAATAGAGGATTTGGTTTCAATCTTTGCCACAAATATTTGCTTTCAGATTAAATAACAAGGCTTACCTCTGCCCAGCTGTGCTAGATATCTCTGTGAAACAGGCTGGCCACCATCACTGTGTCATAGCCCCCGGGGCAGAGATTTTAAGGCAAGTAAGCCCTAAACCTGGAGAGCATGCACTCCTACCTCTTCTTTATCCCCTTGGCCTCCCTGGGCATTCTCTCAAATAAGCATCCACTCAGGATTTCCACATTCCTGTGGGTGATGTTCACCCCTCCCTACTGGCTTTCCACCAGCCCAGAGAGTCATATCCAGTGATCTCTTTGTTCTATTACTCATCTGCAAAAAGATTACTTTTTTTTTCCCTCTGCAAAAAGATTACTATAAAAATGTAAGCATTTCTTTTGTAAAAGAACCAGTTTATCAAGGAAAAATACTGAACAGAAGCTCAAGCAATCATTCTAAGGCTACACTGGCTTTAAGGTGTCAATGATATTACAGCTTTCAAGCTCAGAAATTGCTGGCACATATATACTTTCATAACCAAGGCAGGTAAGTTCCAACGTAAAATGATTACAGGTAATTTTTCAGAGAAATGGAAACGTAAAGGAGAAGGCCTGACAGTTCCTACAAATGAGAAATGGCTTTCCACCATCACTAAGCACACTTACGGTTAACATCGCGAACATCAGCTGACACACGTTGAAGGCATGTCTCCAGTTGTGGTACAGAACCATTCGATAGTTTTTCCTCACTGTCAAAAGCCACCTACACAGTGTCTGAAATGGAAAGGAGAGGGTGTGTTAGGCAGTTGTAAGGTCTCCATTGGACCCTTATCTCAATGGTACGTTATACCTGAGTAACCCTCAATGATCAAAAGCCTTCCACAAACATCTCTCTGGTTCTCACAGCAATCCCATGAGGTGTGCAGGGCAGGGATTATCATCCCCACTTTGTATTTGGGAAACTGGTGGTTCAGAGTGGCTAACACGTTATCCTAGGTGAACTGCTTGGATCACCCAAGACAGACTATCTTACCTCATAGTCGATTTTGAATTTCTGTACCATCCCCAGCTCCATGAACATCCGGAGAGCAGCTGTAATCATGGCATCAACATCGAGGGAAAAGTCATCAAAATGAATGTCATCAATGGCAAGTTCTGACACCAGAGGGATGTTGGCTGCCTACAAAAGCAAAAGACATAAGTCAAGCCAAGTTCACCAGCTTTCCCAAACCCCCATCCTGCTCTCCTCCCCTGCTTATCAGAAGTGCCACATAAATCAGGTCTGACCTGCACTTACACCCTGATACAGCTAAACTCTGAGCTGTAAATGTCTTTTGTTTCTGAACTGCAAATGCCCCAAGCAAATGAAGGTGGGGGCAGGGTTGGGGGGCTGCTAATCTGAAGATAAAATACACACACTGGATCTAGTCTGCAGAATTTAGAATACAGAACTGTCAAGTTTATGGAAACCGTGGTCATACAATATATTCTGATGCATATTACAGAGCACTAAATGCAAGAAACATCTGGGCAGCCAGCAGCTGTGAATTTTAATTGATGCTATTCAGGAGGAGATGGGAATATACCACTTTGTCTTGTTTCTTATATCCTTATATCCTGTTGCTTACACATGTTCTTTGTTACACACGTGTTCTGTATATTCAGAAGGATCGAAAGGATCAGACAGCACATCTCTGGTGGGAAATAAGTTGTCTTAATAAAATAGAGATATCTGGAGGTTTAGCATAAGCATATGTTTCACTGAAGAGATCAATTTTGCTATCTTATTTAGCTTCATTCTATATAAACGTCACAACATAATTACAATACTGGTCATACATATTCAGGGTTTTCAAAACACTTCTGTTAGGCAACTGTCAATCAACTGCCCCACCAACGAGCCTAAAAATGAGAAAAAAAAAATCTTTGGAAATCATTCGTATGCTGATTTCATTGGGTTTACCATATTCTTTGGATCGCTCTTCATAAGGGAGTCACTTTTATATTTTCAGGTTATCAGAGACCATTCTGTATTCATACTCTTAGTCTATTCACTGGGTTTATATTACCCTGGCAGTAATTTATGCCCTGGAACTACTTACTTTGGCTAAGAGATTAAATCCAACTCTTGCTGCTTTAAGCATTCCAGAAACCACATAATTAATCCTTCCTTCCCAACTCTATGCTCCTCCATAGGTGGAGCTTAGTTCTCCATGTATTTGTAAATAATTCAACCCCTAAACTCTCTACCAGTTGTCTAAGTCTCCTCTCAAAATGTTCATATGCTTTTGGGCATTCCATCAGTTTCATGAATAAATCACTCCAGGTACTTCCAGCATTTCTCCAGTTTAGACCAACTATCTTCTATGTCTGATGTGTAGTTTTCATCCTAGGATATTCCTTCGCCATAATTGTGGGGATGCCTTTTTCTCTCGCTCTCGTTTCTCTGGCCCACATCTTTCTCTTTCTTGGTTTCTCCTTTCATTTTGGTGAGACACATCCTCTAATAGATTCCCAAGAAAAGTTGTGAGGTAGATTTGTGAGGTTGGGCAGTCTGAAATGTTTTTGTATTACTGTCACATTTCATTAATAGTTTGTCTAGGTAAGATTTCTAGGTTGGAAATCATTCCATTAGAATGTTAAAGGCATTGCTTTTTGAGCTTTAAATGTTACTTTTGAGATGTCAGAAGCTATTCCGGGTTATTATACTTTGAAAATAACTCCCTCTCCCACGCAATTTTTGTAGAATCTTTTTGCTTCAAGAGTTCTGAAACGTCATGCAAATGTGCCTTGGCGTTAGTTTGTTTTCATTCATTTCCTAGGCACTTTGTTAGCCCTTTTCCTAATTGGCAAATTGTGTCTTTTAATTCTAGAAGAAAACAGGCTCTTTAAAGACTTCTTCCTTTCTTTTATTTTTCTGGAATTCCCTTAACTTGACCTTTGGACTGGTTTTTCTTTCTTTCTTTTCATTTCTCTTTTCTTTTAGTTTTCATTTTCTTTTTTCATTTCTCATATTTTTCATTTCTTTTTTGCTTGTTTTCTAGGATCTTCTTACTCTTGAGATTTTAATAACCTGGTTTTCATCCTAAGAGCTCTTCTTTTGTCGTCTGGATGTTCCTTTTTATTTTTTTTAATGGCATCTTAATTTTATTTCACGGATACAATATGTTCTCTTACCTCCTGAGGATGTGAATGACAATTCTATTTGTCATTTTCTTCTCATAATTTGTTTCACTCTCTGTACTTTGTTTTACTATCTCTCCTTTTTTATTGTGGTAAAAAACATGGACACACAAAATTTACTCTCTGGACAACTTTAAGTGTACAGTATAATATTGTTAACTATATGCAAATTGTCATACAACACATCTCTAGAACTTTTTTGGCTGAAACTCCATACCTATTAAACACCTCCCCATTTTCTCCTCCACCCACTTTTGGCAACCACCATTCTACTTTCTGTTTCTATGAGTTTGGTTACTTTACGTCACACAAGTAGAATCATGCAATATTTGTCTTTTTTGTGATTGGCTTATTTGTCTTAGCATAGTGTCCTCAAAGTTCATCCACGTTAAAGCATAGGACAGGTTTTCTTTCTTTTTTAAAGCTGAATAATATTCCATTGCAAGCATATACCACATTTTTGTTCCATTCGTCGTCAATCAATGGTTTAGTCTCTTTCTTCATCAGGCAACTTTCAATAATTTTAAAACATTAGAGGCTTTAGAAATATTAGAAGTTTTCCTTAGTGGCCTTGTAATCTTTAGTTTTCCACTCCTGTGTAAAAGTGGAGCTCTAAAAGTTTCTATTGGAGTTTCTGGGGACTTCTCTGTAGGTGGAATCTGTCTGACCTGTTTCCTTGGGGATGCCACCAAATGTCAACTCTTTGTATCTTTGCTCTTTAGCTACTCCGAATCCCCAGAGAAGAATCTTCTGACTGGAACCTAGTGGGAAAGCAGGTTGGACGAGGCATCTCAGTGCTGGTCTCCTGTTCATTCAGTCCCACCCTCATGCTCCCTAACCCAAACACCTGCAATTATACTCTCTCCAGAGGACAAGGAGTGGAGGAGTAGTACAAAGGAGCTGGGGCTCTAACTTCTTCTTAGACGCTCTGTTTTCCTGTTTATAATCCCATCTTCATTAGCACTTCCAAAGGTACTTTATTAGTCAACTCCTGAGCTATTTGTTGGGAGGAGTCTGTGGTATAAATCTGCTTGCCTCTCAGCTTTTCCCATTGCTAGGTTATTTTGGCTGCCTTGAGTTTACTAATTACTTCCTGTTCATCCATCTGTTTTCTAGTGTCCAAAATTTTGTCCCCATTAAGTCCCTTCCCAATTTCTTTGGCTTGGGAATTTATGCCTTAAAAAACTCCTTTATTTTTGTTTTAATAGGGCCTGGGGAGAGAACAAAAGAAAATGAATGTATTTAATCTATCATCTTTATCCAAAAATCAATGAAGTTATCTTTATTAAGTGATACCTTGAATGGCCAGCTTGGAGAACTCAGATTGGTCTATAGGCCCTTTGCTTCTATGTGCACAGGCCTGGCTGCAACCATGTGGCTCTCTTTCTCTTATTCTGTGTCCCTGTGGATTCACTTCTGCCACTGCACTCACTTATTAGGCTGTAACAATCTTAGAGGCAGACACCATTTTCTTTTCCTTAGGGAAGCTTCGGAGCAATTCCTTACTCCTGTCACGTGTTTGAGGGTTTGTAAACAGAGAATACCAAGGACTCAGAAAGATCTGAGCTTGCTGTAATTTGTTCCAATTCAGAATCAAATGCTAGCGGAAAACAAAACAAAACAAAACACTTTTAAAGAGATAGAGGCCCTGTCCCAAAAGACACAAATCTTTCTGGTATCAGGAGAGAAGTTTAGTTCTGAATTGGCAAAGGAGGCTGAAACTTGTTACAGTTTGTCACCAAAGAAGCAGAAATGGTGATGCAGGCAGCACTGTTCTGCTCCAGGTGGCTCCTGTCTTCGTAGATTATTAATATTCTCTGATGCCATTGTAAATCCTCTACCCTTCAAAGGCACTAAATTCACTTAATTATCTTAAAAATTAAAGAATATAGGAATTTTTTCATTATGAAATGTTAATGGAAAGGAAATAAGAACATTAGGTTGAAAATGTAAAATGACCTCTGGTTCACCAAGACCCATCCTTACTGACCTGGTCTTTTTTTCCCCTAATAGGTTGATTGATCCATGTTTAAATCACACCAGTCTGTAGATCACCCTGAGCCCTGCCATAAACCCTTGCTGGCACTTGTAGATGAAAGAAAGTTCCAAGCCTTTCAGGAATGATCATTTTCAGCTATTTTGAGAAGTCTGGGTAGTTTTCATCCCCATGTTGCTGGGTTCAAGAGCAGGGTCTGGAGAACACTATGAAGAGTAACAGGCAGTATGCATCCTGAGCAGATAAGCATAGAGATCTGGTCTGCAAAAGATTTGGAACAACTTTCCATTGACAAATTCCTTGTTATAGAGGCACGTGCTCCCCATTGCTTCCGGTAAACAGAAAATGAGATCGCATCTTCCAAACCTATAATTACTCTAGCCATAGGATATTAACAAAGCAAATCAAAGTCAATTTCTCCAAGTGTCAGTCTTCAACTTTTAAATATTTATAAGGTGTCATATCTCTAAATCAAAGAGGAGTGCCACAATCCAAAATAACTACTGAATTAATAGCCAGGAAATAACATTTGGATAAAAGAACCATTTACTTTACTGCAGCAATAAATGAAAACACAGAATTATGAGTCCTGGAGCTAATTTGAATAATGTTCAAGAAGTGAGACTCTAGCTGGCTGGAAGTACCTGATATCCTTTGACGTTCCTCTTCTTTGTTTGGGTCTTAATAGTTAAGTGGTTATCAAAGGGAGTCATAAAACTGCCTCCTCTAAAATTGAAAAGGTAGCTTTACAAAGAGGCCATAAAACGTTAAAATACAATCCTGGATCCCTTGACACATGAATATTACATTTTGTGATGCTCAGAAAACGGGAAGAAACAACAACGTGGGTGGTAGTCCAGCCCTGGCAATTCAAAGGAAAATTGACTTGTTGCTAATTCCAGCCCACTCACTCTCTTAATCCTCCGGACAAAAGCAGTAGTCAGGGGCCTTATGGCTCTGGGATTAATGGAGACAGGAGGTTGAGCTGTGGTGAAGTGGAA